TGATCGTGAAACTGTTCGACAGGAAGTTCGCGGAGGAGCTGTCACAGATCGGAGGCATCACGCTTGATCAAAAACGCCTTTGCTGACTTCTTCCGCAGTAGCAATGGGAAGCAACTGTGGGTCGGGTTCCTAGGGCAGGAGCAGACATATCGAGTATTTTCCACTCGCAACGAGGAGAAGTTGGGAGATGGACTGGAGACCGTTCTTGGGTTCTTCGATGTCAGATTCTACTTCGGAAATGACTTGCCAAAGTGGGGGAACGTTTGCCAACACCAACCAATGCTGGAAGCTACGTTCCTGAATCGAGAGAATGCAACCACTCACATGACGGGCCTCAACAATACTGTGAAATACCAACAGGGCTGTCAGGGACATCATGGATGGACTGACGTACACGAATCCGTACGTCAATTTCAAAGAAGCCAGTTGCACAGGCCAGAAAAGAAAGGCAGGCGAGTCCAGTCATGAGGACGAGGCTAATCGAGGTCGTGAACCCGATCATGCCGAAGAGCCTGATGCGAAGCAATCAAGGATCGGGGACGTCGCCACGAGACGAGCAGAACTGTTGCTGTTGCAGCTGTTTGAAAACCTTTGCGAACGCGCTGGTGAGCTCAATATTTGCATCATGTGCGGAAAAGAATCCCATGAGGGGACCTGCAAAGATACAGCAAGAGCAACCGAATCTGATTTGGCTCGTGTGAGGATGCAACTGCTATTTTTGCCAGAAGGACACCCTTCATCCGATGAAGATATCGGTGTGGAAGGTCCTGAAAAAGAGGAGCGGAACCGTCGTCCAGCGAACCCGGGAGAAATCACACCCGCCGGTTATTAAGGAACCGGATGCTCGCCCAAGAGAGGAGTTTAGCAAGTACAACTACGCTGTGAATCTCCCTCAAATGGCCGACATCGCAGAGGGAGGCGAGCTCCACGTTGGTCACCTCGACCTACACACGAATCCCAACGGAAGCATGAAGGAGTACAACAACACCTCAACCCGGTGACGAGGCGGTCTGCAAGGGTGTGCATGGATTCTCATGCATGACCGACACGCTGCCAAAGGGGATACACTTGGAAGTTATGAACGTGCAAAACCGAGATTCAATTTTCCCCTACGAGGCCGTACAAAGAGTACACGGCATTTGGGTCCACTGGCAGCCACGACGGTCTGTTCCAGATGTCAAAAGGCTGGTGAAAATCCTACGTCATCAAATTGGTGCGAAAAGGGGCAACACGATTCCTTGCCATGGTGGGGGACGGGTGAACATCGACCACATCCTGGACCGCGAGGACGTGTTCCCGCAGAACCGGTACGATTCCAGGCCATCGCCGAGTGTATCAGGTCAGAGGACCGGAGAGCACGAAAACCGAGGCTGCAGATTCTCGCTGCGAGATTTGACCAGGAGATCGACAACGAGACGACGCAGGGTCTGATAATTGCGGGACGGACCAAAAGCAGGGTTGTGGAATCAAGGGCTTTATCCCCACTTCTGTGATACAAGATTCCCCCCTTTTATATGGTGGATCAGTCTTTGGGAAGCCCATTTTGTTGCATCACAGACGGTCATTTCCCACAGTCCTGGACCAAAGAGAACATTGACTGGATTCGTCGCGAGCACAACGAATGGTGGCAACCATGGCATTCGAGCACCATCAGGACATTCGGATTTCGGATTCGCTCGTCCTGCTGAACTATGCAACATACTGTTCCTGAACATGTCCGATTGCTTGGGCGGCGCGTTCCACGTGACAAAACCATCAGCCCTGGAAGGTATCATGCGAGGCATCGTGCCAGGTGGTAACGATCATGCGCGAAGATTGGCGGTACACGTTGGAGTGTTTGCGCCGTGGGACAACGAGAACATCTCGACCAAGACTGCGTTGTCTGACGTCAAGGAAGGGGATGACCTCATCGCCATCTACGTGCCAACAAGGAATTTGTCCGTGTACCAGCCAGGTGTCGGGAGGAACTGTTGTTGCTTTCGAAGTCTACCACTCAGAGAGATCAGAGCGATTTGGAGCTTCAAGTCAGTGAGGAGAGGACCGGTCAAAGAGGTCAAAAGGATCTATTCCCGCATTCTAGAGAACGAGATCAGTCCAAGCTTCAAGGACGCTGAGGGCGTGACCCGACTTCCTTGGGAACGTCAACAACTTCTTGGATGATGAGGATTCCGCAGACGCTGACATTCTGAAGAGAATGGTAGTCATGCGTGCACCAACGTTCACGTGCCCGAAGTGTTGAACGACTCGTTGAACGAGATAAGACTCGTTGAGACTTGCTCAGCAGGTTTGTCGTCTACCGCGAGGATGATCCGTCCAACACATCCAACCGAGTTTGCCCTGCGTGCGCTACCGTTATCCCGAGAGGATTTTGCCATTGCACGGCATGCAACTGCGAGCTCATTTCCACCGGCAAGTTCATCGTCAACGTCGATGATGAGGAGCCCAAAGTATCCGACACCACCAGGATGACGGGAGAAGACGTGAGACAGGCTCAGCGTGAAGCGAAGGAAGATGCTGAGCGAATTGACGCCGAGGAAGATAGACCAGATACCAATGAAATGAGTGAGGGCGGTCCGCAGACAGATCGTATCTTCCCTCCGATGTCGGGACAGACGTCGACGAAGACGCCATATGGGAATCTTTCCCGACAATGCCGAGGAGGACGGAGACGCACTGTATCTCCTACTTTGCAAAGCCATATGCGTCAACGAACCCAACGAGGCATCGTATCTCTCTGGTTACGTTGGTGTCATTCTTTTCAAAGTGTGGAAAGTCTTAGCCAACAACGAGGGAGACCCAGTCAAACCCGCGGGCAAAGGTGGTGGAATTTATTGTCCCTACATCGCAATCAATGGGGGGGACGGTTGGATATTCAAAGAAGTCGACGAACAGAACATGCCTCTTCCGCCCACCTATGACGAGGTCGGATGCCCCCAGGTTCACAAATGTGAGATTCCGAAGCGCGAGCCGTAGAGATGAGGAGATGTTTATATAATTGGTTCTTGAAACTGAAAGGGTTACTCTTGATGTATCGGATCTGGACCGCGTGCAACATCCTTGGCCTCAAGGCAGAGCAGTTCAGGGGTATCACCCACCAGAATGACACCACTTTCGTGAGTGACATGATTTTCTGATGCCTTATTCAACTGCGATCGCATGACCTTTTACAGAACTGATGTACACATTGGCCGCAAGTTCCTGAAGATCGACCTAGCCGCCATGATTTGCGTGCAAGGCACAAAGGAGGTTGATAATCCTCTCATTCTATGGTGCTATTATCGCAACGCACATCTGCCCTCACGTTATATCGACAAGATAAATCGGACCGAGGAGACACCAAAATCATTGCTGGATAGGTCGCGATGGAGGGCATTCAGAAAGGCAATTACAACATCTTCGCATTGGTGATCACGTATTTCCAACACAATCTCTACTACGTGTGGGATTGTGTGGAGATTGCATTCTCACAACGGCATTATGGTACACATCGTGCATGGTACCATGTTCAATCTAAGATATTTGCATGAGACGTTGCATCAGTCAGGCATTCCGCGTCCAATGAATGTTCGATGCTACAAATCATTATTGGTTACAATTTGGTGGTGGGCTATGCTAGTCATGGAAATTCGTTTTCTGCAGACCTACCTGGATCTGTACCATTAGCCGATTGATCGTTTGCGACGTGTGCTTTGATGCACGCGAGGTCCGGTATGCGACCTGTAGCATTCCCATTTCTTGTTAAGTATACAGACCCTAGTCAAACTCTTGCAGAGACGTTTCACAGAATTGGATAGGAAAAGCCGCGCGTCCATATGCATGTTTGCCCTTCATTTCCCCTCCATGTATGTTTCGGTCTTTCGTTGCGAGTCATTTCCCTACATCTCCCGTCGTGCCAATTGGTTTCCTTGTGCTTTGTTTCCCGTTCATTCCCCCTGCACTCCCCTTATTTTCATTTCTGTCCCTTGCATGTCCCTTTCAGTTCGCCTTTGTGTCCCTTTCCTGCTGCTTTCCTGTCATGTTGACTTCCTCCCCGTTTCCTTGCACTTCCTTGCATTTCCCCTTTGCTCCCCAATATTTCCCGCAAAAAACTTTTTTTCCAGCGTTTTCGCAACTAGGGCGTCCAAAAAAATAGAGTTTTTCCAGATTTTCGGCAAAAGGAGGCAGGTTTCCTGACAAAGTTCCCAAGGCTTGGGAAGTTTATGACAAAGTTCCCTGACAAAGTTCCCAAGGCTGGGGTTTATTGGTTGAGTTCCCCAGGCTGGGGTTTTTGTTTCAAAACACAAGACAAGGCACTGAAACACACAGTGAGTGGTCTCAATGGCCCCGTTGAAGTCCTTCATATGGTCTTTGACAGGCGCGCCTTGTGAAGTTGATGTTCTGGATGAAGTGTAGTCCGGCGGATGTTGCTTTGTCACGCTGTGTTTTCTTAATTTGCTTATCTCTTTCAAAGGGCGTTGTTTGGATTGAAACTAAGATATGATTGTAACATCTTATTTGTTACAGTTATACTATACCTATGGTTTGCGAAGATTGAAATATTTTACTTTTTCTTCAGTTTCTTATCTCTTTCAAAGTGCGCTGTTTGAACTTGGTACGCTCTTTTGGTTTTTTCGTGCTTTGACTGTTTGTATTTACTTTGTTTGATACTCTTCTGATATTTGTTGTTCTTTGAAATTTGTTGGTGTGTGTTTTTGAGTTTGGGTTCTTTGATGGTTTTGAGTTTTGCTGTTTTGTTGGCATGCTTGTTTGAGTTATTGAATGTTGTATGCCGTGATTAAATATTTTTGTTGTAGGTAGTTCTTATTTATTTTGTTTGTTGTTCTTATTGTTGTTTGCTGTTTTTTGTGTTGCTGTTAGAGAGAAATAGTAAATAGAACAATTCCTTGAATTGTCCTTTTACCATTTTTCCCCCCACCCCACCGCCCCACCCTACCCCGCCCCACCCCACCCCACCCCGCCCCGCCCTGCCCCGCCCCACCCCACCCACCCCACCCACCCAG